GATAATTTGTGATGAATTTTGATGGCTTGAGGGCAATGTTATTGATGATATTTGTTTAGCTGTTTACCTACCTTGTGTGAGTCATGCATATTACGATTTTGTTGTGTTGATTATTATGTGCTATTCGTTGTCTCTAATCTTACTTGTTGACTGGAGCTGTGATAGAACACTTGCACAAGCATACACCGTAGTTAGTCACTCATACCGGTCCAAGACGATGAACCTTGATGTTTATTGGTCAATTACACATATTCTTGTATACCTGACTTCAACACGTGAGTTGTACCGTTAGCACGTGAGTTGTCTGTGCGGATAAGAGATATTGTTACTGTTAGCACGTGAGTGTTTGTGCAGATATGGGATATTGTTACTCTCTTAGCACATAAGTTGTCCGTGCAGATATGGAGTATTAGTGGTATTGGTATGTAAGCTTTCCGTGCAGCACATGAGTCATTCGTGCGGTTGTGATTTGTAATGTGGGCATAAGATGCCATGTGATTAGGGTACGTAATTTCGAACCCGTGACTTGTGATTATGAAGTGAGGTGCCTCGAAGAAATTCTTGTATAAACCTTGTGTGAAAGCGGTTGTTTTATTGGTTGTTACTTGTTTTTCCCTTACTTGGTTTCACCAAACTTTAACTGTGTTCTGCTTATTTTACGACCTTATTACCTGTTGCTGCTTGTTGATTAATTGTTGTTCTATTTCTTATTTCAAGTATTGTAACATTATTCTTAGCATGTTTAGCTTTATATTGTTTCTTGTTAGTTTTATATTCATACTTGTACAGATTATTATGTCTAGTAAGTGTCTTGACTGTTCCTCGTCAGTACTCCACCGAGATTAGTCTTGATACTTACTGGGTACCGCTGTGATGTACTCATGCTACACTTTCAGCTTATTTTGTACAGATTCAAGTACTTCGAAGGGAGCTGGTGATTATTTAGCTTACTCTGAGTTGCAGCGGAGACTTCGATGTATACCTGTCATTGCGTTCGGAAGCCTCGGAGTTACATTCTGAAGTTTACTTTGTACTATTTATTTCTATTCCGGAACAATCGTGCTTAGAGATCTTTTAGTGAAGTCAGTAGAGCTTATGACTTGTACTACCGGTTTTGAGATATGTATGTGTACTTGGGATTGATGGGGTTATATAGAAATTCTTGTTCATGTTTGATAGTTGATTGGTTAACATCTGTTATTAATTCAGTAAGTCATCACGGCTCCTAAGGAGTAATTTTTGGTCATGACATATAAATATAGATATAGATCGATATAGATAAACATAAATATATATATATATATATATATATATATATATATATATATATATATATTAAAAGTGGGAAGCCTTTTTAGTTAAAAGTTAAATTACTAAAATAAACTTCTTAATTATTACCCTAATATCATATTTAAAATTAAAAAGATAAAACGCCTAACTCCTAAGAGAAGCCAACGCTTCATAAGCTACAACCACCCCAAGTAGGCGACGGTTTAAAATGGTTGCCTTTTGTCTTGCAATTTCACAGGTAATTTCTGTCGTACTAAGTATAATGTGTTAGTATGTGGAGAAGACTTGTGTTTGCCCTTGAATTCATCTCAAGTCTAAAGACATGGGTTTGATTGCTAATAAAGTGGACGAAATTATGGACAAGTATGATAGATTCTGACATGGGTTTGATTGCTAATAAAGTGGACGAAATTATGGACAAGTATGATAGATTCTGAGTATTTAATGGCTGGAGCAATATGCGCAGTCGGATGTTAATTCTTGCCCGGGAAGAAGATGATATTCACAGGTAGTACGTCAAAAACCTATGTACTTACATATTATATACTTTATAGAAGCTGTCTTGGTTTTAGCGTATGCCAACTTTTCTGCACCACAATACAACATATGCATGTGTAATGTGGGGTAAAATTCACACATAATGATATAACTATGACTTTTTGTTCACCAAAGTCATATAACTTAGTTTTTTAACACAAAAATCATAAAATTTTTAATAACTCACACAAAAATTATAGTGACCGAAAATCTCAATTTTTCAATAGTATTTTCTTATTCCATATGTTTTAGTATAATAAATAATATCCAACCCGGGCCGACTCAGCCGACCCAAAATTCATATATATAAGTTAACTTTTATTTCTTATCTTTTTGGCCAAACTCTCATGCATTCCGAACTAAGGTTTTTGTGGGGGAATAATTCACTTTTAATTATTTTAATTTATGTACATAGACATTGGGTAAGTTGGATCTGGTCATTCCTATTTAAGGGAAAAATTCAAAATTAACTGGGGTCGAAACTAATTATATTTGTTAGTTAAAAAAACATCTATATATATAGGCTATTATTTTTAGAGCGGTTCAAAATATGTATTTTTTCTATTTTAATTGGTTATTATTTATTAGACTAAAAATAAAAAATAAAAAATGTGAAGCAAGAAAATACTACCAGAATATTGTTTTCTCTGGTCAATGCGATTTTTGTGTGAGTTAGTGACATTTTTATGATTTTGGCATGCCTTTTTGGAAGATTTTCTAATCAACGACGTTATCGGAGGGAAAAATACAACAATCCCTAAAATTCTCCATACTTTTCAGTTAACAATTCATCTTGAGTTTGTTTGAACATTTTATCCGCATCTCAAATATAAATTAATAGGCAGCCAAACACAAAAGATACGTATTATTCACACGCCATAGTGACCAATAAGACCGGGACATGTGAATTTAACTTAAACAAAATTTTAGAGGAAAAAAAAGCTTTGAAAAAAGGAAAAAAGAAATTAAAAGGAAAACCCACCCACCCCTTCGTCATCTTCCCCACGCATTAACCACTGCCTCAATTCTTCTTCTTCCTAATCTCCACCCACAAAGTACAACAATCAATGGCATCATCGACGTTGATTCATCTTTTTTTAGGCGTTTCTAAAGCTTCTGATGTTGTCAATAACGTTTTCAAGCTTTTTTAATAATTGTTTGAATTCTTAAGTAATTTTTTTAAAATTTTTTCTAGCTAGCTAACGGGAAAATAAAGAATCTGAGTTGAGAAAAGAGGAGTGAAACAAAGAAGAATAAATGTCTGAGATTTTTATAAAATAAACTTTATTTTTAATCTGTTTAGTGGAATTTTGAATAAATTTATCTGAGTGTGGATTATTTAGTAGAAGAAGAAAAAAAAGGGCATTTGTTGGTTTTCTTAATCTGAGGATTTGACTGAGAAGAGGTAGAAGCAAAATTGGAATAGAGCGGTCTATCCCAATTAAATTCCTATAGGAAATAGTTGTGAAAGTAAGAAGGAGAAAGCAAAGGGAAAATACACACAGAGCGCTAATGTATTACACTTTGAAAATAGTGTAATACACGCACTATACCGCATCACCAAATTGTATCTATATAACAATTTTGAGATGTGGTTGGAGTGTTCAAATAGAACGGACTTAAAATAGATTGTCTAAGTGAAAAGTGTGAAAAACTTTAAGTGGTTGTTGATGTATTTTGTCTTATTGAAGAAAAGGAAAATTAATGTGTAATGAATGCGTGCATCAACTAATTCCTTTTCGATTTTCCTTCATATATTACTAAAGTACTTATTTACTTGCGCGTTATGCCTAAGGTCATATTAGGGTTCATGAACCTTTTAGGATTGCCTTTTCCCGTGGATGTTTTTCTTTTTATTTAATACTCCTATTTATTTACTTTACTTAGAGCTTGGATTGTAGTTTCTATTTTTGGATCACGCGAAAATACTAATAACTCTTGTACTCCCAAAAAAGCTCTTAAGCAGACGGTAAATGGCTTGCTCCTAAGCAGACGTAAATAACTTAGGGAAATACTAGATGCCATATGTAGTGTGCTAGTTAATCAATCCAACAATTTAATAAAGCTACAGATCTTTCTTTTTTGTCTTTCATCTCAATTGTTTGTTCAAGGTTTGAAAATCATAGCATCACCACTTTATTATTTTTACGTTTCACCATTGAATAATGTAGAGGCCACTAAAGTCAATTGCAAAAAGATCAGGTGATATTGATATCCCTAGAGGTGTGTTTGTCCCAACCCTAGATAAGGATATATTTTAAGAATCAGCCAAAGAGATTAGTACCTTGTATAATTCGACTAATGTAGTCTTTTGTTACGTTAATAGTAAAATATTTACTTTCTCAAAAATGTTGCTCCTTGAAATGTCTTTTTCAGAAAATGTATATTCATCAGAATGACTCTGCTTGTTGTCATATTCATGTGGCGGGTGAGATGAATGTCTTAATAGGTGGAGATTTGCATGCTCCGAGTTCAACAAAATTCCAATTTAACGATATTTGTCAAATTTTTCGCCCAAGTCATACTCCCTATCTGTTGTGCTATATTTCCTTTACGTTTGCATATATTTCTGATTGTTCTGTTGCTCTTCTTCCTGATGCTATGGGAAAGATTAATTACATTGCTTTAACTGGTCAAGCCTCTTTGAGGTCTGTCATGACAATCCATTAAGCTTGAAATATATTTTTTACATTTGGTGTTATTTGCTCTTAATTAATGGACCAGTAAGCAAAGGTTTATGTACTCAAGTTAGGACTTTGACATGTATCATGCCGTGTATTATAAGTATTGTCATGTATTATCATTTTAAAAAGAGAAAAAGAGACCAGTCCTCTTCTTGCTATCATACTTAACTCCAGGTTATACCAGTTGATGGTCCAAAATAATGGTTAGTTATTTTATCCTATCCTTACTCCGTAGTCTTAGTCAGGTAGGTGAAGTGGATTGCTCATTGTGCTTTCTGTTTTATAGTAAGAAAGTAAGCTATTTATATGTTGGTTAAAACTAAGAATTGAAAGGGAAACAAGTGGTATGATTTGTGTTGGTCATGGATGCAGGATAAAACTTTGACAAAGTAAAGCAGTGCAAGCTATATATATATATATATATTGGTATATTGACCATCATATTAAGAGATATATGATATAAATAACATCTGAATAGACAAAAAAATATTGAAAGAAGTACAAATAGGTTAAATATTTAATCTTTTTTAGTTTTAGTACATGAACAATTGATTATTTGTTATGTACTACGTGATTCAGGATAACTAGTATATATATAGAGAGAGTGTACTTTTCACCTTCCGGTTACGATGAGTAATACACGCACAAAAAGGGAAAACGAAAGGGCAATAGTAAACCAAAGTTTACAACCAATAGCCACACTCCGACTGGCCGGGGTAGCCGGTCAGTCTCCACTCATGCAGAGAGGAGCAAAAGAAAAAGAAAACACGAGAGAAGAGAAACTAAGAATTGCGAACGGTAACACTACGCATCATATCCTTGAACTCGAAGAAATCAACACGGCCGTCGTGATTTTGGTCGACAGATGAAATCATCATCTCAACTCGGTCAAGTTCCATGGCTTCCTGCAATCCCAGCTTCCCTAGTACCACCTGCAATTCCCTCGCTGATATGTAACCGTCTCCGTCCTCATCGAATACCTTGAATGCCTCCGTCAGATCCGCTTCATCCTCCACTGCACTACTTTTGCAACTTCTGTTATCCGCGGCGAACTCATCTTCCAACGTTGATCCGAAGAAAGCATTGTTGAGCGATCGATGTAGAGCCTCAAAGTCTTCGAATCTGAGGCCGCCATTCCCCGGCTTCATGTATGATTTAACCATCGATTCTAGCTCAGATCTATCTGTGTCCAGTCCGAGTAGGCTCAGCGCCTGGTCCAGTTCGTCTACGGTGATCATGCTATCATGATTCTTGTCGAAGACGTCGAAAATTCGGCGAAGACGAAGAGAATTGAGGCTGGGGCATCGAAGCCGGAAGGACAACGACGAAGATGGATTGATTTTTCCCCTACTTAGGCTTCGGTTGCATTGTTCACTGGCTGATCCCATTAGTGAAAGACCTCTCCTTCTTTTTTTTTTTTTTTTTTTTTTTTTTGTGTGTGTGTGTGTGGACAATTCAAGTTTTTGAGAGACAGATATGAAACCAAAGAAGAGCAATGCTTGCTTAAAGCTAGGAAGTTCTGTTTGGCGGGGAGAAGACGAATGGAATGAATGGACAATGTGGGTTTTAGACTAGCACAACAGATACCGCGCATTTGACAACGTAAGAGTTCCGTAATAGCGTGTCACGGCGAATTCAATGATTATTTCAGTACCACAGTAGATACTTTATACTGTGACAATTTATTACTCCACTAATTAGATAGCTACATTTCATAAAAAATTAATATGTACGGTGATAAATATCACGATCCAAACTCTCAACCAAAGGAGCCATGATGACACATACAATCCCTTGCTAAGCAAGCCAACTCTTAACAATAAATACAGAAAAGAGACTAACAGTTAACAAAAGATTAATATATATAGAATAAGAGATATCTTAGAAAATACATAATAAATTTAAAACAAACGGCGACTAAACAATCTCCCAAGATTTGGTGTCACAGATCATATGACTACTGGGAATATTTCTACCTCAAGTCATTTATCTGGTAACGCCTAAGCACCTCCCGGGACTTTGCTGGCACCAATGTCCGAATCAGTACAAGAAGTGCAGAAATAGAGTATGAGTACAACCGACACAATGTACTCATTCAATATTGAGTCTAACCTCGACGAGTTAGTGACGAGGCTATTACAAGATACTTACCATATAAACCTGTACAGTTAATAAGCAACCGAAATAACAATAGAGATAACAGTATAATAACAGGAATAAATGGCAGAAAACATTAAAAGAATCCAATAACAGAAGTAATAAACACGTTTCTAGAATCACACAACCAAAACCCTTTTCTGTAGCTCAAATCAATGTGAAGGATCAATATCCATAATCAACATAGCCGAAGCCCACAAAGAAGGCTATTTCGTAGCAACACCAACATTTCATAATAATATATATGTTGCGGCACACAACTCAATCAAACACACAAAAATATTATTGTGGTGACAACCTGATCTCATGGTCATACAATTGTTGCGTTGAGCAACCCGGTCTTTATCATAATATTGTTGAAGCGACAATCCAATCCAATATACCAATTCACATAAGAAATTCAAAGACACAACCAATATAGCGAGTTTCATAATAAACTATCAAGGAGGACAGATAAGCACGATATATTAAGGAAAAGATGAATGCGAACAAGGAGTAACAGAAATCCCATATCCCAAGCAAAGCTCACTCATATAACTCAATAAGAGCCTAACAAGGTCATTAACACACAAACGATCAAAAAGTCATACAATTTAACGTAGCATAGGTAATTAAGGCATGAAACAAGTTTAGTAAGAAACAAGTAAAGACATATACTAGTAAGAGATAGGTAAAGTAAAGCATGTACCAAGTAAAAGCATGTGGCAAGTAAAAGCAAGTATCAAGTAGAGGCAATATCAAGTAAAGGCATATACCAAGTAAGAGCATGTATTAAGTAATAACATGTATCAAATAAAGGCATGTGACAAGTAAAAGCGTGTAATAAGTAAAGACATGAGATAAATAAATGCATGTAATAAACTAGTTCTACCAGCATGCTCTAATCCCATGACAGTGCATATGCACCTGTCACCTTGCATATACGCCATTCCCTATATAGAACACGTAGCAAATAGACCAATCACACCCTGATTCCCACAAGTCAAGATTAACTACAATATTTCCCTCTTTTCGGAACTAAATCAACAATCCAACTCAGCTTTGCCTTTAGCACAAGCTTCCAAATAACTTGAATCTAATCAATTAACATTCAAATAAGTCAAAACAAGCTTTTAGAAACTATCATAGTTTCAAAAAGGTTTGATCTTCACCGTATCTGGAAAAGTAAAAAAAAAGTCAACTCGGGCTCACATAGTCGAAATCCGAAATAAAAATCAATTTCTGATTACCCATTGTTGCATAATATATAATTTGTATCAAGATTGGACCTCAAATCAAAGTCCAAATCCCCAAAATTAGCCCTCATAAGTTTTTCCCCAAAATCCCCCTTTTTACACTTAAAAGCACTAGATTTAGGAATGAAATCTACGAGAAATCATGGGAATAAATTAAAACTAAGTAAAATTTACTAGCCTTGGAAATTGAGATAAAAATTCTCTCAAAAATCTTCTCAATCCATGTCTAGGTATCAAATATGGTAAAAAGTGGCTAAATCCCGATTTTAAGCCCTTCGTATACCTGGGTGTCAGGTGTTTTTCGCTTTCGAAAAGCACCCGTCGTGTTCACGAATGTCAATGGTCAATAGACCATCACGTTCGCGAAGCCCTCCCCTCATTTGCAAAGGCTATATCTCCCCGAGCTTTCGTGTTCGCGACAGTAATGTCGCGTTCGGAATGAAGAAAGGTCCACCAGTCCCCTAAGCCCCCAAAGCCAATGAGTTCGCGTATGTGAATCAGTGTGCGAAGGCCAAATCCCCCATGCCATTGCGTTTACGAGCTTCTCTTCGCGTTCACGTAGAGTAAAACCACCCCAGCCCAAATAACCCTTCACGAATGCGAGACAAGCTCCGCATTCGCGATGCACTCGACACCAGCAGCTATCAGCTGTTGCATATCATGCAAGAATGGATGAAAACTATCCCAAAGCTCACCCAAGACCCTTGGTCCCCATACCAAACATTCACACAAGTATGTAAACCTCATAAGAACTCACTTATAAGCTCAAAATATCAAAATAACATCAAGAACTAAAAATAACGCATCACGATAATTGACTATAAATGTATATTTGTAGTGTATTACCTGCCTTACATTTCAGTGTTTTAATGATAATATGTGCGATGTTTGGGCTTTATTGTGTCGTTTCTATGTATAGGATCATTGAAGGATGGAAATGAGTGAAGGTTGCACACAAGAATGTCCAAATTACACAAAAAGAGTAGGAAAAGGCAAAAATCGGACAAGGCTAGGAACCAGGCGGCATGCTAGTTGACGCTAGCTCTAGGCGAGGTCCATCTCGCGTCAGAGCAAGCCTCGCGAGCTCTGGGGCACGCTGCAAGCCAGGCCTCGCGAGCTCTGAGGCTCGGACCCTTTCCCAGTATGTGCATTAAATGTTTTCCACTTGGTTTTGGACTTGGGGACACCAACCCAAGCCTATAAATATGTTCTAAACGTGATTAGTGGGGGTTGGTCAATTTTGAAGGCGGCAATAGCTTAGAAACAAAAATGGAGCACGAAATTCATCGATTCTTCCATCTTTCATCTAGTATTCATTGCCTCTATGTTTTAAAAATAGTACTTTGATTGTTGTTACGAACATGAGTGGCTAAGAACCTCATTATTCTGGGGTTATGGGTTGTTATTGACTATTGTTGTTTGATGGTTGATTACTTTGCTTGAGTTATCATATTAATATGTGTATTCAATCTTTCACTTAATTATTCTATTGTGTAGCTAACAGTACAATACTATCTATGAATTTATAGTTGAACTCGAAAGTGGGAACTATAGATTGCATATAAGATTGAATAGAGTAACTTCTTGGATCTGGACATTGAAGAATAAATTTGCGATTAGGATAGATATATTCTAGTTGCCTTTCTTGTTAATTCTAAATTTATAGACATAAAGAACTAGGTTGGATTGAATAGGCGACGAAGCATTGAAAGAACTTCGCAAGCATAATGTAACGACCCGGCCGGTCGTTTCGAGAGTTGTAGCCTCGTTCTCCCATTTTTCTGCTTCTTTTGTGTTCTACAGCTGCATTATGACTTATCAGGTTGATTGGTTCGGGTCCGGTGAGGTTTTGAAATGAATTGAGACACTTAGTCTCTTATTTGAGAGCTTAAGTTGGAAAAGTTGACCGGATATTAAGTTATGAGTAAACGACCTCAGATTCAAATTTTGATGGTTCCGTTAGCTTCGCTAGGTGATTTTGACTTAGGAGCACATCTGGATTGTGTTTTGGAGGTCCGTAGTAGAATTAGGCTTGAATTGGCGAAAGTTGGAATTTTGAAAATTTTGACCGGGGAGTTGACTTTTTGATATAAGGGTCGGAATCCAGTTTTGAAAATTTTCATAGCTTCATTATTTCATTTATGACTTGTGTGCAAAATTTGAGGTCAATCGGACTTGAATTGATAGGTTTCGGCGTCGAATATAGAAGTTGGAAGTTCTTAGTTTCATTAAGCTTTAATCCGTGTGTAATTCTTGTTTTTGATGTTATTTGAGGCGATTTGAGGATTCGACTAAGTTCGTATGATGTTTTTGGACTTGATGGTATGTTTGGTTGAGGTCCCGGAGGCCTCGGGTGAATTTCGGGTGGTTAACGGATTATTTTTGGGCTTTGGATGATGGTTGATATCTGCTAGTGTAATTTTCTGGTTTTTCTGCATCTGTCAAAAATCGAGGTGGAATCGACGTGCAAATCGAGGGCAGGATCGAGGGCAGGATCGAGGGTAAAATCGAGTGCAAGACCGGGGGCAGCCTGGATAGAAACTTTAAGTTATTAAATAAGGGGACTTCATCCCATTTTCCATTTTAGACGAATCGGAGCTTGGGTAGAGGCGATTCTTGAGAGATTTTTCAAGGAAAGACATTGGGGAAAATGATTCTTACTTGGTTTTGGCTAAATCCATGACTATGTCTTCAATTTCATCATCTAATTTGTGATTTGGGGTGAAAATTTGGGAAAAAAGAGGAAGTGTTCTTGAGATGGATTTTTGACGTTTTGGGCTGTTTTATTTGATTCTGAGAGCCCGAGAGACTAGAGAGGTTGATGACTGAGTGAGGCCAAGGGTCGAGTGGTGAGATATTGATATTATGGCACGTGAGTTGTCCGTGCAGCATGTGAGTTATTCGTGCGGGCCTTGTTTTGATATTGTAGCACGTGAGTTGTCCGTGCGGATCATAGCACTTGGGCAGAAGGAGCCCCTCCGAAGTCTGCATACCCCCAGTGAGCGCAGGTACCTATTGAGTATGATTATTGAGGACTGAGAGCTGGTGATTGAGCTGTTGAGATGAGCTGAGTGACTGTGTCTC